GTGTAGACCAGGCTGGCCTCAAACTCACAGGGATCCACCTGTCTCTGCTTCCTGAGTGCTGGAATTAAAGGTGTGTGCCACCATTGCCCATGTATTTTTACAAGACATATATGAAATTTTGAAAATATTTATAAAAGAAATTTTGGTGTTACTTGGTCATCATTTGCATTTACTAGATCTTTAAGTTGCATTCTTCAAAGAAAGCTGTAATAATTTAAGCTCCCAATAACATCCCATGTTATTGTGGGGCCAATACTATCCACTTAAAAATTTCTAGTAACTCTGATGGGTGACAGTGTTATTTCATATTTTTTTTGGTTTTAATTTGTATTTCTCTAATTACTAATGACACTGAATGTCTTTTTTTTTAATTAATGCAGTTTTGCCCTAGGTAAGATGACAGTTGCACATTTTGAGTTAATGACATACTACATCAGTAAAGCACACACTGAAATCAACCAGAACAGAAAAGAAGGGAGGTGATAGCTAATCCAATTTCAAGGTTTGAGAGGTTGTGCAATCTGGAAGCCAGCCACACACTTAGATCTCATTAGATCTCATCACTGGGACTATCTAAGAAGCACAGACATTTTTCATTCAAAGGAAATCATCCTGCCCTCCTCTGTGGACAATCTCTCCTCATCTATAGTAGCAATGTAAGCACATCAGTGCCTGGAGCATCCAAACTCTCCTGCCAGATGAACAAACCTGCCTGCTTCCTTGTCTTTTCTCCATCTATTCATAGTGAAGACATGTTCTTGACCTATCAAAGGTCAGTTCCTCAGACCTCCACCTGTTCTCTGCTTTACCTCCCATCTGGTCAAATTGAGGACTTTCATAAGTTTCCCATCCCTCTATTTCATCACTTTCTTTTCTGAATTAGTTCCAAGAGCCTAAAAATGCTCTGTTTTCTTTGGTTTTGAGAAGCAAAAATAATCAAATAGGAAGCTTTATTTTTTTTAAGCTACACAACTTCTGTAGCACGAATCTTAGAAGGTCTTATGAATAAAAATAAACCTGGAGCCAGGTATTGGGGTGAATGCCTTACCTGGTCTTGATACCACCTGTATAACATTTACAGAACAGCATCTTTGGACACAGATGAACTCGTTTTCTCCCATTCCATAAGAAACAGTCTCATCCGGTCTTCTCTGTGCCCACTGTTTTTATTACAACAATGTCTTACATACAGAAAAGGCCAACACGTGCTTTCTCTCCTCCCTTGATGTCTCAGCTGTCATTAATATAGTTGGTTACTCCTTTCTTATGAAATCTTTCCCCCTCTGCTCTTTTCCCTTTCTTGTCATGCTCACCATCTTATTAGGAGCATATTAGACCTTTTCCTGGTCTCTCAATACTAAAATTCTTTAAGGAATGAATTTAGGCCATTTTTACATTCACTATCTGAATTCTTCTCCCAAATATTCTCTAGTTTGAAATCTTTACATGCTAACCATGCTAAAACTGTATTTCTAAACTTTCTTTTCTACATATGAAGAACTTTTTTAAAATCTCCAATGACTTGCTGGCTCTTCTCATAGCCGTTCTGTGGTCTGTTGGTCTTATATATGTAAATGGCTCATTTTTTCTTTTTTTTTTTTTTTTAAGATTTATTTTATTATGTATACAGTGTTCTGTCTGCGCATATCTCTGCAGGCCAGAAGAGGGCACCAGATCTCATTACAGCTGGTTGTGAGCCACCATGTGGTTGCTGGGAACTGAACTCAGGACCTTTGGAAGAGCAATCAGTGCTCTTAACCTCTGAGCCACATCTCCAGCCCATGGCTCATTTTTCCAAGCAAACATCCATATCTGATAAGTTATGAGATCCTAGGAGGAATGACGTGCTGCTCCTGCATTGTTCCCACTGCATATTTCACTTGGAAGGATTGCAATAGACAATCAACTAGGCCGTTCATTTTATTTTTTGTCTTTCTACGCTCATTTATTTTCCATAGGACGTTCAGTCTTTTAAAAACTCCCAAAGCTGTTTGCTTTATAGTTCCTTCACATGGAACATTCTTCAGCTATTCACATGATTACATCTTGCTCATGATTCAGCTTATGTCACCAACAAAGGGGAGGTTTCTGTACAGACACTTTCTAAGTAGCTTCCTCAGGCTATTCTCTAGCAGAGTGCCTCACTGGATGAGTAATAGAAAAATATCGTAAACTATAATGATTCTGTTTACATAGTGTTTAAATTGTATTTTTTCTGTGGTAGTAGGCCATAGAAGAGATTCCACCCAATAAGTACATTTAGTAGAAGAATGCCAAACTCTGTTCTAAGACCCCTGGGAGATGACAGGCCAAATAAATACCCAACACTGAGAGATGTAGACCGTAAAACTTGCACCTACACCCCTGCACACACTTGCAGCACTAAGTAGACTCCATTGGTTTAAAAAGCACAGCACATGAAGCTGGGAAGAAAAAGTTGTAGTGGGGATTGGTGAGAGGCTGGAGGGGAGGGGATGGTGGGATTGGGGAGAGGCTGGAGGGGAGGGGATGGTGGGATTGGGGAGAGGCTGGAGGGGAGGGGATGGTGGGATTGGGGAGAGGCTGGAGGGGAGGGGATGTTGGTGGATTTGATCAAATCATATTATATGCAGGTGTTGAATTCTCAAACCATAAAAAAATGGTATCCCCAGAAACACAACACCACAGACAAAGGGTGAGAGTGGGATCTTAGGGATGGAGGCTGGTCACAACATAGGCTGAAGACAGAAGAAAAGGTGAGTGAGTTTAATGGCCAATGAAGAAGAAGTAAGTAGAAACAGAAGGAAAACAAAATCTTTCCTGGATCCAAGGTGTGACTTTGTTAGTAAAAACAATCATTAAATAAAGGACAGAAACACATACAAATAAATATATTCTCTAAATAACACCCCTCAACATCATTCAAATATTAATAAGAACTACCTAAGAGATGAAGGAATTGACCAATCTGCAAATGGATAATGCAAACAACTAAGAGAAGGTTTATGATTCTGTGGTCTATAAGGAAGCAATGAGACTGTAAAACCAGAGATGTAAAATTTTAGTGATATTCTAAGTGTATATAAAATCCAAGCTACTATTAAAAATAAATTCAGAAAGCATAGGACTTCTCTAAAATAGAGTCTCAAATTCTATATGAAATGTTAATAAAATTGGGAAACTGGAAGAGTAAGAAGAGAATTCTTTCACAAGCATTTAAATTAAAATGATTTTATTTTTGGAGTTCGCAACTGCAAAACAAAAACAAAACAGTGTTATCTTTCCAGTTCCTACCTATCTGCCCTCCCATTTGAATCTGTCTCCTTTCTGTCTCTCATTAGAAAACAACAACCAGTTGGATGTGATAGTGCACTACTTCAATCCCAGAGCTTGAGAGGCAGAGTCAGGCAGATTATTGTGAGTTTCAGGCCAACCTGGTCTACAGAGTGAGTTCCAGGTCAGTCAGGGCTGTTACATAGAGAAAACCTGTCTTGAAAAAAACCACCACAACAACAACCAGTCTTCTAAAGTATAATAATAATAATAATATAATTAATATAATATAATATAATATAATATAATATAATAATTATATTATAATATAATAACTTAAAACAAAAACTAACATCAGAATAGAGCAAAATGAACAAATCAACAGAAAAGAGCCCAAGAAAAGGTACGAGAAACAGAGATGAAGAAACCAACTCATTCACACACTCAGTAATAAAAACACTAAACTGGGAAACATAATAATGGAGCAAAGGATGTGCTGGGTAAAAAGAGAGAAAATGTATATATAATAAAATAAATAAAAATTAAAATAAGATTAAAAACAAACAAATAAACAAGAAAGAAAGAAAGAAAGAAAGAAAGAAAGAAAGAAAGAAAGAAAGAAAGAAAGAAAGAAAGAAAGAAAGAAAGAAAGAAAGAAAAAGAGAAATCCTGACAGGACATTGTGAGACAAGGAATCACCAAAGATGTTTGAGTTCATTTTTTGTTGGCCATCTACTGCTGGGCATGCAGCCTACCCTTAAGAGTAGTTTGTTTTCCCTCTAAGAGTCCCTTGAAGAAAACTAAATTTTCATTTGCAAGTGGTTACCAATCAGACATTGCATCTAGGTTAGGGATGGGGTCCTGTGTCCACGTCTCCTTTCAGCTCTAGGACCCCATCTGGTGAGACCCATGCAAAAGCATGTGCATGCTGCCTCATTCTCTGTGCATCATATGTGCATCAATCATGTTGATTTGGAGTGCCTTGTTTTCTTGGAGTCCTCCATTCTTTCTGTCCCTTACACTCTTTCTGCCTCATCTTCTACAGGGCTCCCTGAAGCCTGAGTGGAGGGAATTGATGGAGACATCCCATTTAGGGCCAAGTGCTCCAAGGTCTCTCACTCTCTGCATGTTGTCTGGCTGTGGGTCTCTAATTGTTCCTATTTGCTGCAGGAGGGAGCTTCTCTGCTAATGGCTGAGCAAGGCACTGATTTGCTTCCTTGGCTGGAATGCTGTCCTATGATATTCAATAGAGGTGTCTGACCATGAGACTAAAAGAAGTAATTAAAGCAAATAATTAAAGACAACTTCAATGGGAGAGGGGAAAAAACTAAGATGAGGCAATTCTGGGAGCCCAATGAGACCCAAGGGTGCATTTAACAGCAAGTAGTTAAATGCAGAACAGGTTTTACTGAGGAGAAATCTTACAAAACAAGAAGTAGCAGAGGATTCATGGTACCTGATCTCTGGTCTCCGTGGGAAGGAACAGGGAAAGGAGAACAGATCATTCCTCCTCTAGCATGTAAATCTGGTGGGACCATCCAGATTTCTATGTAACAGTGGTGGTTTCCTCCTTCAGAAGCTAATTCTGTTGGAAATCCAGCTCTTCCAGGCATCTGAATCAGCCTTGCCAGACTACCAGAGTCCCTAGAGCCACCTGAAATGTCTTTCACTGCCCAGTAGAGAAGGAATCTCAGGAAGCTGAGAGTAATCAACTCTTTTCAAGTGCCGCTTGTAAGCTGGGGACCAGAGTATTGCATGTAAGGAGAGAAAGCTTAGCACTCCCCTTGACAAGGAGAAGAGGGGCCCCTGGGCCTAACAACTTCTATATGGTTAAGGCGTTGCCACCTGCTTTGTGGCAACTAACCACTGTTAAAAAAAAAATAATGACACAAAGTTGTATGGGTAAGGAAAGGAGGTGAATCTGGGAAGAGTTTGAGGTAGGGGTGAATATGATCAAGACTCAGAGGAAACCCTCAAAGAACTACTGAAAAATTCTGAGCATCTAGCAAAAGAAAAGATGAGGACTGAGAAATGATAACAGGATTTATCAATCAGGCCATCACAAGGTCTCAGTGGATTTCTGGAGGAAAAGCCTGAGTGAAATACAATCAAGACCGCTTTAAGAAGAGGAATTGGAAATAGTGAGTGTAGAAAACCTTTGAAAAGTTATGTGGCTAAGAGAGGGATAGGGTGAGTGGTATGCCCTACCAGAGGAAATCAGATAAAGTATAGCTCTTCTTCTTAAAGTAGTGGTTGTCAGCCTTCCTAATGCTGTAACCCTTTGATATAGTTCCTTATGTTGTGATGACCCCTTGACCTTAAAGTTATTTTTGTTGCTACTTTATAACTATAATTTTGCTACTGTTATGGACTGTAATGTAAATATCTGTAACACAGGATATCTGACACATGACCCTCCCCCAAGGGGGTCTTGACTCACAGGTTGAGAACCACTGTCTTGAAGTAAAAGTAAATATTGTACTGTCTGCTTCCAGAGATGATTCAAAAGGAACAAACACTAATAACAAAAGATGGGGGGAAATAGCAAGGCCCTGAGTGACGTGAGCTTGTGCACAAGAGTCTTGCTTTCATAGACAGAAGAAAGTTAAACTACTGTAATGAATGTAGCAACATATTACATATGGACTGATGCTGAAGGTATCAGACTGATGATGGTAGTTATGTTGGTTGGGGTGGACGGCGGATCTACAGGCATCATTGAGTCTTTCAATTTTCTTAGCGATATCAATGGACAGTGAGGGTGGACAAGCCATGATGGATGTTTGAGGGGGATGGGAAGTCTAAGCAATCAACAGAACTTACAGGATCTTGTACATAATTGGTAAGTCATTCTTGATGGACTCTGACTGGGACTGAGTAGCATTAGTCAGAAAATAAGTAGCTAAAAATCTTAAGCATTATTCATCCAGAAAATAATTTAATCAAAATGCATCCAGGAAAAAAAATATATGAGCATGTCTGAGCATATGGCTCTCATAAAGCCCAAATCCCGAGTTATCTTTTACGACTTAACACAGAAAAGTTGAGTTTTAACATGTTTGCTTTGCATTGCAACATTTCCCCTGGGCTGCTATAGGCCAATTCCCTTCTAGACGCTCTGCATTTTACTTTAGTTATTATTTAACAGGAACGGTATCGGCTCTGAGGCTCATCCAGGGGAAGGTTCAGTTTGTGGTTTCTGTTGATAGAAGTGAGATCCCTCTTTACTTTGTTTCTCCTCCCATCCCCCCAACTCCCCACCCACCTCTGTCCTCCCTAACTTTTTCCTATGACTAGAGAGGAAAGCCCAGCCTTTCCTGGTTCATGTCTGTGACACTGAGTCAGGAGGCCATGGACATATGGAGAGTCAGCTGAGAAGTTAAAAATCTAGGTTAGCGCTCCCTCATAGAGAATTTGTAATTTTAAGTCTGTTTCAGTGCAGCCATAAAAATGAGTAATTTCTCTATCCCTAAAGAACACGGAATCATCCCTGTCTCACCCATCCCTGTGGAAGTTAAAAGGAGAAAGAGACAGATCATCTCACTTTGAGCATCTAACGTTTCCAAAAAGATGTTAATTTTAAAAGAAGTACTAAGGACGTGGTAGCCAGAAGAAGATTTCTGTGAGAAACATTTGACTTGGACTTGAAATGAATGATAAAATACAGATGATGGATGGGAAAGGAGAAAATTACTTGTATAAACCAAACTCTATGCTTGGTGTTCTTAGGATTCTTGATGCTTTGATTCATTAAATGTTGATTTCACACATGGTACACTTATTAGTTTTCTAATAACAGCAAGCAGAGTATAAGAGGGCTCTAGTGCAGTAATCTGCTGTCCTGATAAAATACTCCCAAACTCTTATGAGACTTCCTGCGGCTTACAGTTATGGGGACACATAAACAAAAGTAAAGAGAAAATAAGTCAGTTGTGTCCCCGAGCCCACTGGCCTATGCAATGATATTCGGCCCCCATGGCTTCTATTTGCTAATGCAACCCTGAAACTGATTACTTTTTACATGAAAACTGCATGTTTTCAAGAAAAAAAAATTGAGATGTCCATCCTTCAAAGGAGGAAAAAAATAAGTTATATCATACCACACATAGGAGACATGTGGTCCTTTAGAACCATTCACTCATTTTTAAAAATAGGTTTAAAGGAGTCACTGAAGATTTGAATTTTCTTTATCCTTGATACTGTAATTTGTCAATATTATCAAACTAGAAAGCTTAAAAAGTACATGGAAATGAAGAAAAAAATTATCACCCTACACACTGTCTTATGCCTTAAAATTTGTCACGAGAAACACTAATCAAAAATTTGTTGCAGTTACAGAGATTATTTAACTGTTGAGCAAATTCAGTCATATGTGTATATTATATACTATTATATATGTTATTATAACACATATACTATATATGCATATGCAACATACACATAGTATGTTATATACATATATTATTGTATGCATATTATTATATATAACATGTATATGTGATTATATTAGATCTTATAATATATAAATATATTATATGTACTTATCTGCTTGATTGATTGAATGAATGAATGAATGAATGAATGCATATGGCTGAAATGAATATGTATGACACAGAATATAAATCGTATATATATTTTCTATGTACATATTCTATAGAATTTCATTCATTTTGGATGATGATGTCTAGACTTAGTTATTTCTGGCATTATATACTCTCCACCACACCAAGGCTACAAGCAACGTTTTTCTTTTCTTGCTCTATATGCTCTATTTTAAGGTAGAGCAATGAATAGAAATTCAAGTTTCAGAAGACTTGGGCATGCTCAGCCACCATAGGTGGAGACTTGTATCCTAAATTACAGATAATGCTTTTTTAGGAAATATGTTGTTGCAGGATCTTATGCAGATTAGCTGCAGAGCAAGGAATATTGTGACAAGAAGGAACACTTGAAAAGGTATAAAGGCTAGGCCAACCAAGTATGCTTGTTCAATGAATAAGGCATTCTTTTCCTGGAAGCAGTGATGGGGCTGCCTGGCCTCTGGCCTCTGGCATGCAGGGTATTTGAGACAGATGTATGTGTTTACTAAAGCTTAAGCTAGGAGTAAAACCAGTCCACATAAAAATCCCTGCTAAAGTGATAGCTATTCAATGTTGAACAAGTTACACAACCTTTCTAAAGCTGGTTTCTTTATCTTAAGGAAAAGATAAGTGCATAGGACAGAACTGTGCTGCAAATTATGAAAAATAAGCACAGTGATTCATAGCACATAGAAATGCATAAGGAAATTTCAAAGGAGATGTATAAATCCTTACTAGAATTCCTAGTGGCATTGAAATATGGAATGAACATAGTCTGCCTTAAATAACAAAATTTTAAATGGTATGTAATTTTTAAGAAATTCTTCAAATTTTATTTTTGATTTTCATTAGCTTCATGGGGTTAATGGTGAACCCAGGGCATAATGCACCCAAAGTGTCTATGTAACACCAAAATACTTTGATGGAGTTTTATACAAGTAGAAGGATTAGTAATTCCGCACACCCATCTCAGGATCATATAATATATAACATAAATACACATATTCCACTACCCCCATTCTTTTCAATATAATGCTCAAGGCACTAACTAGAGCAATAAGACAAGAGAAAGAAACTCAAGGGACATGAACAGGAAAGGAACTCAAATTATTCTTATTTGTTGATCATAATATACACACATAAGAGATTCAAAAAAAAAATCTACCTGAAAACCTCTAGAGATAATCAACACTTTGAGAAAAGTGGCAGCATACAAAATCAATTTACAAAACTTAGTCAACTTTCTATAATCCAAGAACACACATGCTGATAGAGTTCATGGAAACACTCCCATTCACAATTGCCTAAAAAAAGGAATAAGCCTAGGCAAGGACAGAAAAGACCACTATAATAAGACCTTCAAAATTCTGAAGAGATTAAGGAAGGCACCTAAACATGGGAAGATTATCCCATGCTCATGGTCCGTATAATCAATATTGTGGAATAACCATGTACCAAAAAAAAAAGTTACAGATTAAATGCAATCCCAATCAAAATGCCAAAATACCCACAACCACCTTCAGAGAAATAGAAAAAAATCTCAAAAAGCATCTTTAAAAGGAACAATGCTAGAGGCATTTGCATTCCAGATTCCAAGCTTTATTACAGAGCTGTAATGATCAAAACACCATGACATTGGCACAAAACAGATATGTAGATCCATGGAACAAAACAGAAAACCTAAACCTAGGCCCTGAAAGGCAAATTGCATGCCACGTTTTCTCTCTTATTTGTCCATACTAGCTCCAAATCTTTGCTGTGAATAATATCATGGAGTAATCATAGATGCCAGGGAAAATGAAAATATGCTGTGGCAGGGCACACTATAGAGAAAGGAATAGCAGGACGCAGGTGATATGGAGGGGGGACTGAGAAAAGCAGGAGAGAGGTGGAAAGAGACTTAGCTAGGGAAGGGAGAAGAAAAGCAACAGACAGGGAGAGAGAAGAGGGGAAATAACTAACCCTAAGAATGTTTGAAAGTACTATAGGGATTTATATTATTTTACGTTTACTTAACAATTACATGTATGTAAACATATGTTTATACATGTATGTAAAGTTACATCACTTGAGCTAACAATGTTTTCCCTCAAACCACAAACTATCGAGCAAAAAACCCTCAAGACCAGGCATAGTAAACCTCATTTTAAGTTCTTAGTAAAGGGAGTCCAAGAGACTTCCAAAACAATATAGGCTATTGACATGGCCCTTGGCTAGCTACCAGGTAACCAAGTTATTGAAAATGAAAGTAAGGCTCTGCTACTCTGACCTCCAGTTGTTAACAGTAGCATGCCA